TATCACTAGCCTTTTGTCATACTTAGTCCAACGCCTTCCCAACTATATGACGTACCTCGATTCTCCTCACACTTGCACCTCGGATTGGTCTGTCGAGACCGAGCTAAAGAGAGCAAGGTCTACCATAAGAAAGCCCAAAATATTTCGGCTCTGAATGTTATGACCGAGCTAATTATCACTGCTCTAACCGTGGTGCCTGTACCATATTCGGACTGAGCTAACTACAAGGCCCTCTACACTCAGCCCTTTTTACCTCGGTCCATAGAACAGCCCATTACCGTGCCTTGGCCTAGCTCGGCCCTAATGCACATAAAAACTCTCTCTCAACTACCCCTTAATTCCATCTGCGTAGCATGATTGGGATTACCTGTTACCAGCCGAGCTAAAAACTTTAGCCTTTCAACCGAGCTAAATTGTCATCGGGCTATCGATTGATTCGGTCAAAAAATGTCTTTTTCAGTCGCAGTAACTGAATCGCTTTCTATTCCATGGACACGTGGCTAGCTCTCATTGGCCTAGCGTAGCTGTCATGCCGTCTTCGTACTCCAAAACATTTGAATAGTCCCGCCTTTTTCATACGCCTTTATACAAAAACCCTATGTTTTGAACCAACCATTTCTACTATTCATCTTCTCTCTCTCGTTCATTTGAGCCTCCATTTTTGTAGCCACAGCATCTGCAAATCCTGCGTTCTTATCACCATCTTCGTGGTTTCTGATCTCCGTCCTCCCGTCTTCAAACCGTAAGTAGTTCAACCCTCTATTTCTTTCCATTTATTTTGTGAATATACATAATATAGATACATATATACTCATATATATCACCAAACATATTCTGTATAAACATGTTATGGGTAAGAACAAATAGTACCACAGGTTCGTGTTTAAGAGCACACCCTCTAGATTCAAAAATCATGAAGTTTGAATCTAGAATCGTGGTGTAACCGAACTAAAAACCTGTTTGGGCAATTCAACTCTTAGGCTCAACCGAAGTAGGGAACCTTCGGTAGCAACCCTCATGCTGTTTACTGATTAATAACTGATTGATTACCGATAATCACCGATTACTGCTAAACGGAACTGATAATGACTGATAACTGACTGAGAATTGAACTGATTAAAGTACTGAACTGACTGACCGAAATTGAAACTGAATTGAGTGAATACATCTGTTTGAATTGCATTTTATCTGTTGACTGTTTGTTTGATCTGTTCGTGTTTTATGTTTAAACTATTAATTGAAGGCCTTATCGGCGGCCGAATCCGGAACTGATTGGTGTTTTAGGATCGTCATATTTAATATGATTTTATGGTATAATTATCTGAAAACTGATTAGGTATGATTAAATTAGATTAAAATAAGCCAATTAAAGAGTTTGACGAAATTACACTTTTGCCATCTAGTGGGGCCTTTGTTTACTCACATTTGAAGCCTTGTGTATGCTTTATCAAAACATTTCCTCAGCCTTGTTTGAGCACTCAGCCGAATTAGAGAGAGAGAGAGGAAGTGAGAGTCTTGAGTTCACTTGTAGAATTGCTTGGAATTGAAGGATTTAGAGCATTAGATTGCATAGTTGAGCTTGTTCTTGCATGATTCATGTCAAATTAGGTGCTAAGTCTTGTTTTAGTTCATACATGTTGAAATAGAACATAATTCTTGCATGCATGTTTGAATTGTTGGATTTTGAGTTGAATTCATGGCAAAATTGCCACATGCGTGTCCATGTTTTAAGAGTAGTCCATGCTTTCATCATGTTTTGGAATCAATTGGCTCACTAGAGCATCAAATTGAAGCTTTGAATTGATTTGAATTCATGCATGTTTGCATGTTCTTCATATTCTTGAAAAATGGTTTAAATTGAGTTCGAATTAAACACCCTTGGGCTTTGATTTCTCAAAATTGATTTTGAACCATGTTTAACTATGAGTTCACATGTGTTTTCTGGAAATTTAGCCCAAGAGGTCGAGTTTTGATGCTTTTGAACTTGGTTTTGAGCTTGGAGGTGCAAT